CAGCGCTTTTTTGATCATGCCACCACTCCTAGCCCTGCCCCTGCTCCTGTTCTGTAACAAGGTGAGATTAACACTTATCCATTTGGCACAGGCCTTCCTGGGGAGCCCCACTCCTATCCCAGGCTCATCTATATCACTGCCACTCATCCTTCACCCCAGACCTACAACTTAGTACATCCCACTATGTCATACCTCTGCATCTTTCCCCATGTTCCTTCCTCAGCCTGGACTATTTGGATCCCTTTTTCCATCTAGCTGGCTCCCAGCTCATGCATCGCCTCTTCCAAGAAGTCTTCCTTGAAGCACGCTATAATTACCTCTCTGGCACAGGCCTTGCTGATTCCTTCTGCTTCACATTTAGCATGTCCTCTCATTGAACAACTCTGTGGTACACAATGCTTGTTAAGTGAATGAATGAGTGGTGGCAGTTTGTCCTTACAACTACACTGCTTCCATTTTACAGGGGAAGACACTGAGAATCAGAGATACTCAGTGACCCACCCAGGTTATGACCAATCTAGTACAGACGGAAAATGGACCAGGGAGTAATCTGCTTGACCTTCGTTCTATTCTATTCCCATTCCTCATGCTCTTTCCTTCTCCAGCAAGTGAAAGCAGCAGTTTGGCTCAGTGAGAACAAACCTTGCTGAGGACAAAGAGGAAAGAGACATTCCACAATTCTTGTGGGTTTAGGAAAGTAAGCCCCAAAGAACCCGATGTAAGACCAAGTATCCTGAGCCTTGGGCCTCCTGCTCAGGGTCTGGTACAGATGCCCAGGGAAGCAGAGGATCAACCCCCCGCTGGGTAGGCAGCAGCCTGCTCTGTAAATGCCATGACAGATGGCCCTGGTCCCTTTCTGCTCCCCACTGTTCCCTCTTCCTACTTTCCCAACTTCCTCCTTGAGAAACCATCCATCTGTCCTTAGACATCATCACCAGGGGAGAGCCCTATAGCCTCTCAGAGCCCACAGGCATGAGTGCAGAGAGTAAGTTACAGGGCTGGACTCTGATCTCTGGTTAATAAGGGGTAGAATCAGGCTTGAAACTGGGTCTCTTATCCTAATGCCAAAGCCCCCTCTCTGGAGTCCCAGGGTACACAAGAGAGCTAGTTTGGATACAGCCAAAGAGGGAAGGCCCAGCGCTTCTAAGAAATGGATGGTGCTGTCCAATATGGTAACAATACTGCCTGCTCCCAATGAAATTAAAATAAAATTAAATATAACTAAATATTCAGTTACTCAGTCACACCAGCCACATTTCAGTTGCTCAGTGGCCACATGTGCCTAGTTGCTACCATATTGGACAGCACAGATTACAGAGAATTTCCATCACTGGAAAAAATTACACTGGGCAGTGCTGGTCTATATTGACATAGCTGAGAACCCACTCAGGAATGGGACTCTTCAAACCAACTCTACATTACATTATACAGATACTATACTAGATACTATATTATATATATACTATGTATTGTATTCTGTATTATATACTATACTACATGCTATATTATACACATACTACACATAGCTTCTATACCGTGTTCTCACTGCCTCCCCAAATTTGGCAAAATAAAATTCTTTCTCCTGTTTTTCTATTTTTTTTTTATTTTCAGCATTTATCTTTAATTTCTTCCTTTTTCCTACTTTCTTTAGTTCATATTGCTTTTTCTTCTAATGTCTTAAGATGCATAATAATTAGCTTTTAAATAAAGTTTGTAAATTAAAATATAAAGTTCCAGTGATGAATATGTTCTAGAGCTCTGTTGTATGACACTGCCTATGGATAACAATACTGTATTGTGCACTTAAAAATTTATTAAAGGGGTACATCTTACGTTACATGTTCTCACCACACTAAAAAAATTATTAATGATTTAAATTTTTAATTAATTATAATAGTATTTAGCACTTCTAAGTCCTTAAATATGCTTGGCTATGACATATGAAATTCTGAAATTTCAGTAGGATATTTAAAATCTCACTGTAGTGGGATTTTTTCCAAATCTTCCAAGCAAGGGTATTAACTCTCTTGCTGGATTTCCCCCACCCCCAGTCCCCTCGGGCCCCTCCCTCAAGGCCAGCACCCCAGATCTCTGTGAATCAGGCTCTTCTCAGGGTCTCTAGGGTTCTTATTCTTGTCCTGGACTCTCCATCTTTGGCTCCCCAGCTCTCACTCATTCTTTGGGGAAAACATTCCCATGCCGGTTTCCTCTGGCCAGGCTTAGAAGAGTCAAGGTACTTGCTCACCTCCCTTGGCCCATCTGCCTGCAGCTCCAACAAACATGGGCTCAGGGGAACGACAAGCAAGTACATTGCAGAAGGGAGGAGAAGACAAGGCCATTTTCTCAGAGCACTCCCCTCCACTTGCTCTAGCCCTGGGAAGATATTGAGCAGACTTGATCTTTCAACAGCGTTCTACACAGTTGACCACTCATTTCTTTTTAAAACATTCTCTCTCTTCCTTTGGATTAAAGGTACAACAAGCTCATGGTTTCCTCCTCTCTGTAAATGTTCTTTTTCTGCCTCTTTTGCTGGCTCATCCTCCTCTACCCAGCCAATACATGTGGGAGATTCTCAAGGACCCGTCTGAGATCCTCTTCTCATATTGTGCTCTATCTCAAGGACTCTTGAGTAATCTCGTCCTTACTAGGAATGTGTTTCTGACTCACAGATTCATGTCTGTAGCCTAGAGCTAGAGCTCCCAACCAATGTATCCAAACCCGTTGCACCTAAAACCGAACTCGTGATTTTTCCACAACACGCTCTCTTCCAGTATGTCCTGTCTCAGAAGTCATCATTAGCACCCAGCTTTACAAATCTGGTATTCATCAAGGACCTCTTCCTTTTCATTTACCTCCATGTTGAATTTGTCACAGTGTTCTGTCAATTTCACTCCCTGGTTATCTCTCAGATCGACCCACTTCTTTTCATCACCGCTGACACCAACGGCAACCATGCTTACTGCTTTGTCACATGTCAATTTTTTGCCCCTTAATCTGTTCTTTACATGGCAACCAGAGTCTTCTTTTAAAAATATGGATCACATGACCTTCTGCTTGGAACACATCAACAGCTTTCCAATGCTCTTATGAGAAAGATGGCTCTTTACCTCCTTTCTTCCTCTTGTCCCGGCCATACTAGCAATGCCACAGCTTCGAACACACTCCTGACTCTGCCTAAAAAGCTGTCACCTCATCTTCAACCTCTTCACCTAGTTTCACCGGCTTAGCCTTTAGATCTCAACTTAAACATCAGTTCCTTAGGGAAGCTTTGGTCCATGTCTTCTTTTTCATGTTCTCATAGGACAGAAGCCTTTCACCTTGGACCACTAATGTCTGTTGTATTTATATATTCATTTACTTGATTGATTAACATCTGCTTCCCTATGGCCTTTCTCCACCTTCCTCTAACCACTTTAAGCTCCCTGAAAGCAGACATTGTATTTCTCTCGCTCACTTATAGCTGACTTAGCAGCTTAAGAGAGCTGAGCCCTGGGGCCCAGCAGAGCCTACTGGTGGAGAGGCAGTTAGTTCTATAGCTCTGCCCTAGAGTAGGGACATGGAGGCACCAAGTAGAGACCCTGGAGCTTGGCCCTGGCCAGGCAGGGAGAGGAAAGGGATTACAGACAGCAGAGCCTTGTGTAGCTTAACCCTAGGATCTTGCAAACAGGCTGTGCAGCCGATTGCTCCTGAGGCAGGCAAGTGACAGCAAGAAAAATTGTGAGACAAAGAAAGATTCTAACACCAGACCCAGCAGATAGCCTGGTGATGACGCCTTAGGAGTTATAGCTCTGACATCCCTTACTATGTGCCCAGCAACGAATTCAGGGATGAATGCCAGCAGAAACAGATGACAAAACCAAACGAGTATGGCAAAAAAAAAAAAAAAATTCCAGAAGACCATTTCCCTGAGTGATTAGACTTCAAGGTATTGTAGAAGCATTTTGCTTTGGAAAGGTTGCTGTAGGGGTACTATTTCCTCAGAAACAGAGTGGAGAAGGAAGAGAGGGAAAACACAGAGGGATTTTGAATGTATCTTGGCAGAGTTGGGGGAACTCTGGTGAAACAGCCTCAGCTTTCTCAATAACCTGGGAGTGCTCAGGCATTATAAAATGAATCTAGAAAACAAACACTAGGTATTGGGTTATAAGAAGGCAGAGCTGCTCCCTGTCTGAAAGAGATGCCCAGCCTAGTGAAGGAGATAGAAACTCAACAAATTACTTCCTTAAATGTAACAAGAACTGTTTTAAAAGTAACTATCAAATTAAATAGGAATCCACTTCTCACTTATTGGGATGGTTATTATCAAAAGAACAGAAAACAAAGTTTTGGTGAGGATGTGGAGAGGTTGGAAACCTTGTGCATTGGTGGGAATGTAAAATGGTATAACTGTGATTGAAAACTGTATGGCAGTTCTTCAAAAAATTAAACATAGAATTACCACATGATCTAGCAATTTCACTTGTGGGTATATACCCAAAAGAATTGAAAGCAGGGCCATGTACAGATATTTGTATACTAATGTTTATAGCAGCATTATTCACAATAACCTAAAAGTGGAATCAACCCAAGTGCCCATGAATGGATGAATGGCTAAACAAAATGTAGTAGATACATACAATGAAATATTATTCAGTCTTAAAAAGGAAGAAAATTATGACACATGCTACAATATGGATGAAACTTGAAGATATTATACTAAGTGAAATAACCTAGCTACAAAGGGATAAATTGCATGAGGTACTTGGAGTGGTCAAGTTCACAGAGACAGAAAGTAGAATGGTAGTTGCCAGGGAGGGCTAGGGGGTGAGGGGATGGGAAGTTACCCTTTAATGGGTACAGCTTCTCATTTGAGGAAGATGTAAAAGTTCTAGAGATGGACGGTAGTGATGGTTGCACAACAGCGTGAATGTACTTAATGCTACTGAATTGTTAAAAAATGGTTAAAATGATAAATTTATTTGTGCATATTTTACCACAATTAAATAATTAAAAAACAACTTTTTAAAATGGAACACTTCATGAATTTGCGTGTCATCTTTGTGCATTGGCCAGGTGAATCTTTGTATTGTTTCAACTTTAATATATGTGCTATTGAAGCAAGCGCTAATATATCTATTTTTAATTAAACAGGAATAAGAAAAACCTAACTTGATTCTCCAAGGATGTTGGGAAGTACTGGCATGATGATTGGGAGCAGAAAAAGAGGGAGAAATAGTATTTGTGCATACCTACCAAAAGAGGGAGAAATAGCAGTGCATACCTACCAACAGGACCAGGTTGTAACCACAACTCTGTTACTTGTTGGGTGAAGCGACTGAATCTCTCAGCTGCTCTTAGCTTTAGAGTAGGAGCAGGGCTGCTGGGAGAATGGCTGATGCTGAATGAGGAAGGAAGCCTGCTGTACGTGGAAGTGCAACGCAAGTGTGTGGGAATAGGATTCCCTGCTAAAAAGGGGGCAACAGCATCAACGTGCTGAGAGGGAAAGTGATGAGCAAGGGAAAGGTGGCCATGGGGGCATGATCTTGGGGTTTCATTAAAAGTAATGAAGGTTTAGAGCAATTCTGTGGAGAATAAGGAAGGCCAGCAGGAAGGGCTAAAGGGTGTGCTGAGCAGCAGGGAGGACCCTCTGAATTACAAGTAGATGGATTCTAGAGGCCAAACAGGACACTTTGGGAAACTCTCAAGAGCCCCTCAACCCAGTAACCTAACAGAAGAATAATAAAGAGAGCTGAAAATTGTCAGATGCTCCTAAGAAAAGAGTGAATATATTCCTTTAAATACTGAAACTTGGCCCCAGCCTGGGAAAAAGTGGGAGACTACATGAAGACTGATTAGAGATCATTGATCTAGGTCAATGTTTTTCTAAATTCACATCCCTGGGAGTATGTAAAATGATTTTGGCTGGCACACATTAAAAGGCATAGTCACTTTAATTCTCATCCAGTCTTTCCTATGACTTCCAAGATAAAATTTCCAATTGGTGCCATGAATCTATTCCCTCTGAAACCTGTGAATCGCACGCTTTTATTTGAGAAAGTGAAAACAGGCCTCTCAGATTCAGTAACTTCAATAGGCATCAGTGTCTAATTCAGGAGTTGCCAAGACTGGCCCACTGCCTGGTTTTGTAAATAAAGTTTTATTGAAACACAGCTATTCATTTCTATATTGTCTATGACTCCTATGTTACAACATCAGATATGAATGTTTGTAACATAGGCCCACAGAGTCTAAAACCTTTAATATCTGGCCCATTATGGAAAAAGTTTGAGGACTTCTGATCTGGTTTACATATTTTTATTTTCAGTGTACATATTCTTAAATATTTGCTGTCTATTATAAGTGATATCAGTTTTCCACAGATGGTAACAATAATTAATTGAATTAGTTAATTAGCAAAAAAATTTATTTAAAGAAAAAATTAACAAAGGACTATCATACTAACAAATTAATATAATATATAATAGAAGTAGACTGCAGTTGTGACAGAATCCTGGGGGTAGTACATATATGACAAGACTTGATAAACACTGAATTATGAGAATAGGGAAAGTCAGGAGATTTGAGAATGTTGAAGACAAAGAGCAGCTTCAGCAGAGATGAGAGATTGGGAACTGGAATAACATTTCATGAGAAAAAAGAATTATATATGTCAAGGATGGATTTGTAACCATCAAGGATGGATTTGTAACCATCAAGGATGGAGAGAAGGCTCAGCATGTTCTAACTAGACCAAGGGGGTCAGGGGAGGCAGGGGCTAAGGAAAGGCAAGGGGACAGGGAGCTGCAACCAGGTAAAGCCAAGCTTGATAAAGGGGAGAAAAGGATGGTGCAGGAGAGCCAGTGGAGGATCCCTTCCAATCTAGTTTTCCC